TTTCAATTTATCGTACTATCCATTTTGAATTCCGTTATCATTTTTTCAACTAAACGCTTCAAAATACAAGCCTTCCAACTACTAGCTCAAATGATCATTAAAATGTTACAATATTCCCTGAAAAGTTGTCAATGTAGCTAAAAATATTTTTGAAAAATCGATTCTTTCGAACCACGGTGTATGCAGCTCCCTAAGTGGACCTCAAACGGTCTCACTCCTTCCCACTAGCTTTCATTGTCCCACACTCTCGTGTCCGATATATACTAAGGTGAATGGACCGAAGAGATAACAGCCATTAAATTTCACTATATTCATAGTAATGCAAATGTTGACGTCCCTACTCTTTGGCAACGCAACATCAGCCCTTTTCTTATTTCCATAGTGTCGCAACTTTTAACCCATTCTAGATTTTCCAATTGGAGTGACATCACTCTGTTACGTCTCGGTTAAGTCACTATGATAACAGACGTACTTTCGAACAGGAAGGTTCTATTTACTGGAAATCCGGTGTGAGGAGATAAACGAAAAATTAAAAATCTTGCTCTCGAGAAAGCAACAAACTCTAAATTTTTAAAGAAACAACCTGAGTGGAAGACCTTCTAGTTGTCTGAATTCTAAATTTTAAATTCTTCTCTATAAAAAAAAATATTCCAAGCAACACTTAAAATCTGATTTCCTGATCTGGTGTTCCCCCTTCAGTTATCTAACAATAAGTTGTTTTTATTAATCCATGTTTCAATGAACCCTACGTGCTCATAAAAGAGTACGGTTGCCAACCCTGATGATAGACTACGAGGTGATCAGAATAGAATACACGACGCAGGAGTCGCACTGACGCTTAATAAATAAGGACGTAAGCCTATTCGAAGAAAATTCGTATTGACAGTATGATAAGCCGAAGAAACGTGCAAACGGAAAGCGACAGATTTAGGTCGTAGATGGAAGAGTTTCGCTCCTCTGTTGGCACTATGCCAAACGACGAGGATCATTCGAAAGCGCTGGGCATGTGTTTTCTTCGCATCATTCACGTCGTCCTTGTTGAACCACGCACGATTGGTAATTCACCATGTGTACAGATCAGTTCTGACTTTCGACAACTTTTACAAACGGATCCGCCATGAAATTAATTCCACTTCCCTCTCGAGACTTCGTCTTCGTCTACCGTTGGTCTTGTCGATTGTTTCGTCGAAAGAATTTTAAACGTTCTACTGTAGCTACTTGAAAGGAAGACTAAAACCACTCCAGTAATCACAAAAAAACATTAATTTATTTTTGATGATTCGATTCTGAAATTTCAGTCGTCCTTGGGGTCTGTAAATATTATGAATATTTTTTGTTTCTTTGAGAAAATTAGGGTGGTATTTAAGGCAGGACCAAGAAGGACACAGTGTAAATCGTAGGATTTTAATACAAGATTGGAGGGTTTGGTAATTATTTTTAGATTAATTATTTTTACATCGAAATGTCTATAGACTATAACCTAGGATTTTTTTATTTCGGTGCACTTTGGTTTAGCCTCATTCGACTGAGGATCGCAAAGGGGTAACTAGAGTAGATTGGCCGGATTTGTCACGTTGCCAGACTTTGCATTCGTAACTTTTAACTTTCGCCGTATATGCTCTGCATGATAAATCAAGTGCTTACAATTATACACAATTACACCAAAAAAATATCCAGAAAATGTATGTTTCATTCTAACTGCACTACAAAAACATATATTTAATTATTCGTGGATTCTTTAATAATTGGTGAATATAATTATTCATCTAGTTAGAATGGTCCTGTTGAAGCAAGTATTTCATATTTCTGTGAAGGATAATATTCGATACTGTAATCGGTGTATATATTATTTTTCGGCTGTAATTAATGTCAACAGTTCACTAATACTCACAAAAAGTTAAAAAAAAAAAAGTCGAATCACAATTTCTTTCATTTGTTACACTCATTTACTGCAAGACTGGCATAACTTACAAACTTATGGTAATAAAATATTGAATTAGCATAACAAGTAAGCTGGTACAAGAGTAACATAATATTACGATTCCATTCAAATTCTGTGTTCATTGCAGCAAACGAGCAACAGACCACACAACATCCACCTTAACGAGATGCATTCCAATAATTTGAAAACATCGCTGGTACTCACTCGAGGAACGTTCATCTTTCTCCGACTCGATCAGGTTGTTTCCCTCAAGAACATATCACAAAAACAACCTCGGACTGTCTCGCACTTTTTTTTTTTTTTATATATATATATATTCAGTTCGAAAACCGTTTACGGAATTCGCGAAATAAAAATTGATCAGAGAACCGGACGAAATATTCAACGAGAGACGGCAAATTCAACGTTCCATTTTTGTAAACACACGCTCTCGTAATCAACGCGGAACGGAAGCCGTAGCGTTTTCACGGACGAAGGTTGGAGAACAAGGACACCGTGCAGAAAAGCGCGTGGAAGGAACTTCGTAGAGGAAGGAGAACGAAGAAAAAACGGAAAGAAAGGTGCACACTTCACTAGGGTCAAAGAGAGAGTCCATTGGAGCGTCTTCCATGCAAGTCGCTTATATACATTTGCTCCTTCTTTCCTTCCTTCCAGCCTTCCCTCTTTCTCTATCTCCTGGTCCTTTCTCTTGCTCTCGAGGAACCGAACTCCTTTTCTACCTACGGATCTCTCTCACGTCGCATACCTGGGCAAAAGTTCCCTTACCTGCGTACCCCCTGCTGGAGAACGCTGCGACAGGTAGGGTGAACCTACCTGGATCTTGGGGTTGCTGGGAGAAACTGTTTCCAGCTCCCAGGAAACTGACCAGGACCAGCGGTCGACTGCGACTCTGTAAAATTTAACTTCACAGCGACGGAAGAAAATTTCAAACACGGCACGTTCGAAAGATATATTTACCTGGATCTACTCTGGGCTCTTAATAATACAGGGTGACTGGTGGTACAAGCAATTAGAGGGCGATTCTACGTAAAAAATTGTTTATATTCACTTAGTTTAAATTTAAGCACGACTGATCACTGGTTTCAATAATTTTTTAAATCAAATCGATTACAATTTTATCATATTTGAATAAATTTTCAAGGACATAGATCCATGAGCTAATGGCTACCGAAACGTACATACAGTCCTTTACTTTATAAGCCAATAGCTCTTTGTACGAGTACGCATATGTACTAGAGTAATTGATATCTCGAGAGTTCAGCGTGTCAACAACTCTGCAACAGGTGACCTCGAAATGAATATTTCGAGATTTTCTCCGAATTTCAAGTAAATTCATGCTTCTTTGTTTTCCATCCCTGCGATGTATTACCTCGTATTCTCTTCAACCGTGTTGCCGTTTTAAACGACTCCTCGTGTTTATTCATATCATGTAAATGCGACGCGCAGTCGTCTTACGCGTAAATGCGCAAACGATAACGTGAAATGAAAATTATCCTACATGTCATTACAGAATCAATTGTGTGTCCTTTCAAACTGAATAAATTAAATATCTCGACGTTGATTAATTTACAGTTCAGCACAATTTTAAATTCCTTCGGATTCTATTATTTAATTAAATTTGCTACAAGTCCTGGAACCTTATCTCTTTGACTCTCTTCATTTCATCTCCACGAGATATATGGAGCTTTTATTTACTCGGTGCTCGACATATTCCTTGACAGATATCCCGTTGTAAAACAATTATCTCAACGAAGGTAATATATTCGCTTGAACCGCGAAATTAACGAACATATCGTCGGTTTACGTTCGTCGGTGTGGTACAATTGAAAATGGGTGTTTCTCACGTTGCGTTGACGATTCTTTGCGCTTTCAGTTTCATTTCCACGGGAATATTTCAAATGACCCCTTCCGCGCGAACTTGCACATCGTCAGGGTTTTTTGATATCGTTGAAGACGTGACATGCCAGAGTTATTACCTTTGTATTTTTGATGGTACTTCGTTCAAATCGTACGACAATAAATGTGCAACTGGAATGGTATTCTATCCAGCAATAGGGACGTGCACGTTATCTACGGTGTATACTTGCACGCATACAACGCCAACAACAAATGCAACAACCCCAACGACAATTGCAACAACGCCGACAACAATTGCAACAACGCCAACAACAAATGCAACAACGCCAACAAC